AGACAGTATGTGTCAATTGGGATAGTTCCCTTGTAAAAGTAGCTAATTAAGATCTAAAATCTTGATTCTTCACTTGTTCGTGTACTCAGAGGATGTCAGATATTGATGGGAAGAAAACTCGGATGTAAGTCCAGGAAAACGTAGATCCGCAGTTCGCTACCTACTACTAATCATCCTTGCCCTAGCTTCAGAAGAAAAAAAAACATCATGATTACAATCGTTGACACTAATTTTAGCTAAACATAACGTTTTTTTTCTTTTAACAAAAACAGTTCATTTTATACTTTGTCAAGTTTTAGAAAGACATACTTTGTTAGTTACATGAATTCTCAAGTATGTCGCTAGTAATAATCTTCCAATATTTACCATTATTTTTTTTTTTACATAACTTCACTGTTTTGTAACAATGGAAAACAGAACAACATGAAAGCACGTGCTGAGCAGTTACCTATTGAATTGTGGCTATCAATATTTTCTTATATAGAAGTTCATGATCTCTTTCAAGCTTTTTCTAATTTAAATAATTTTTTTGATAAATTACTTGCTTCACAACATCTTTTATTATATGTTCAACTAGGATCAACAAGGAAAAATTATAATTCTAAATTTAATCAATCGAATTTTTATTGGTCTAATTCAATACTTGATCGTATAACATGCATTCAATTTTTTTCTGAATATGAATCTGATGATCTTCTTCAATTTGTTCAATCTTATTCGAAAAAATTTATTCAATTAAAATCATTAATAATTCAAGCATCTATACAAAATATTTCATCTATTTGTAGTGCATTAGAACAGCTTAATTCACTTCAAAGTATATCTCTAACATGTAAACCATCTCAAAAGTTACTTGATGCTATTCTTCATATATCAACTCTTCGTATATGTCGATTAAGATTTTGGCGACCAATATCAACTATCAATTATCATTCAGGTACAAATAGTAATGTTGAAATACTACACATAAAACTTTTAGATGATCCAAATCATTCAATTGTTTATTTACTTTTATCACATATGCCAAAATTGAAGTATCTTGAAATTGAAAAATGTCGTTCCGTACCATTATTTGCACAAGAACTATTTATTCTTGAACATCTTCAAATACTGAAATTCATTTGGGATCGCCATCAATATAAATCAGATTATTTTGCACATTGTCATACAGTTATACCATATTTAAAAAGTTTATATCTTACTGTATATTATTTACAATTCGATGAAGCATTTGATAATAATTTAATTGATTTTTTATGGACATTGCTAATAAAAATGAAATCAATTAAAATTATTATTCTCTGTAATCAATTAATGACAACAGTCAACAATGATATACAAACGAAATTAGATACTTATTGTCAACAACTGTCATTTGAATTAAATTATCGATCTGATGCTATTTTTCAGATTAAATGGACCGCAGGAAAAGCACACGAATATAGAATTCAAATTACTTCTCAATAATTAAAGTATTTTGTTTGTTGCTTTTTATCAATGTTTAATTGATCAATCTTATCTAATTAAAACAATTTATTCTTTTAATATGTACGTAAGATCAAGTCAATAGTTGTATTCACGTTTTATGTAGATATTTATTTTTGTCTCACATCTTTCGAATTAAACAAATTTTTCTTTGTTTATCTGTCTCGGACTACATCCTGACTGATCAGTGGATGAAAAATTTGTCATATAACTTCTAAACAACAAGTTCTTTTGTTTTGAAAATACGTACTTATAGATTTTTCAAAAAACATACCAATAATGAAAAATCTCTAGAAGACTAGAGTTGTTTTTCGAGGGATAATCGATCACCAAATGAGTATCATGGCTAATGAGAGAACCTTTCCGGCGGCCTTCTCCCGATTTCAATGTTTTTTTTGTCTATAGATACTACATAGTGTTCCAAATTGGAACACTATGTAGTATATGTAGACAAAAAAAAATCATTGAAATCAGAAGAAGATAGCTGAATAGGTTTCCTCGTTATTCTGATATTATCGATTCCTTTTATTGTACACAGTGGATTAAGACTTTTTTGAAACTAGTAGATTATCGATTGTGGAAAAACAAACAAAAGAAAACATTTCGCTGAGAATGCTGTCGAGACTGAATACAAATCTATTATTTGTTATCCTCGTTCATGAAAACGAAAGAATCAATATACAATATCTCTCGGCTGTTCTCGATCAGTCTATATTAAGCTCTATTCTATGAAAAGAAATCTCACATCATAATCGTACAAACTTTCAAAGTTTGTCTCTTTAAATAAAATTTAATAGTAAGTTATATTTATTTTCGCGTTGTCACTATCTGTTTTTTACTTGACTTTGGTGATTTTCATATAATTTTGATGTCTTTAAAAATCAATTAATTGGACAAAGTTACCCGTCGTTGGATAAGATCGACCATTGCCCGTTGATTGTTTTTCTTTAGATCAACTACGATATGTGGCAGTCTTATTATTTTCGCAAGTAAAAGAATGAGGAGTCTTCTAGTGATTTGAATCAAATAACATCATTCCAATTGAAACCAATCGACTAGAGAGTGTTTTTCTACAGTGTCAAAATCAAATTGGGCTTAGTGAAAGTTGCCCGCAGTTAATAGTTAACTTTTACAAAGATGGATCACAATCATGTGTTCAAATCACTATTTCTACGATGACGCCACCTAATATAAGAAGAATCCATCATTCAGAATACATTAGAGCGTAATTTCAATGCAATAATGTATGAAAGTGGTCTATTTTATTGATTCAGTTTTAAGACGTTTTCTGATGAAGAAAGATTCGAATAGTCCATCTTTTCAAGCAGAACACGGGTTAGATGTACAACAGAAGAACGAATCAACTTCAAATAGGTCACAAATTCAAAATGATTTCAGCAAAATTTGTACTCTGACAGATCAGCATGATGCGTACTGAGATCCTTCTCCTCCGTTTTTAAGGTTTCTAGAGAACGATCCATTAGAAAGCTCTAAAACCTTTATCACAAAGACAATACACTGAGTCGAGCAAAGAATCTTGTTAAGGTATCATAAACGATTCCTAGTATTGAAACGAAAAATGATCAGCCTAATCTATCGTACTGTGATAAAGAAATGGAGGCAGTGCTTGACTTTTTTATGAAAATGTTAGTATTCAAAACCAGAAAAATAACCTGAAAATATTCAAACTTCATAGATTTTTCGACTTTTATAGCTAATGATGTATCAAACCATAAAATGTGTTTAGTAATTAGATAAATTGTCGAAGCTTTTGTACAAGTCGCAGCGCATAGTACATAGAACAGAAAAAAAACATTAATGAAAAATTTTGAGTAGGAAAAAAGACTGGAAGAAATTCGATCCAACGAAAGTGTAAATATGACAAACTTCTCTATAAAGAAAGCATTTAAATGATAATATGCTATTTCTTTTTTTCGGATTGCATTCACTAATCGGATCATTATACTCAAAGGGTGAGCATCACTGACAATGAATAATTTTTAAAATAATCCCTATATGTTGAACATGAATAAGGCAATCATCTGTATCAACTGCGGAATTATCGGGAAAATATTTGAATTATCCGTACGAACAGAGCTTTATAGATAAGCAGAATAAAGATGGAAAATTTATTCTACGACTTTGTTTTTGGTTTCTTCTGAGGCAAATATATCCTTGAAAACCTACTCCATTATGATCAGCAATGTTTTTTTTTCATCCAAATGGTTGAATTCGGAAAAGAAAACATTGCAGGTGTCTTTATTCCGTGACTGAAGTTACTTGGAAATAAGCTATGTAAAATTGTCAAACACGATTTTCAATGTTGCAGAAGCTTGGTTCATTGATCAGAGCAGCTGAAATACCACGTCTCAAATAACGACAATGTTGTTCTTCAAGTCGAGGTATAGCTGCTTTCGGTTCTTTGACATCAACAGATGACCACAAGCATTCCGCCACTACGGATGCTGGAGATCAAGTGGTTGGAATGACATTGGTTGAATCGACATACTCTTCATAAAGAAAAAGACAATCATATTTGATGAACCGATGGAGATCATTTTTTTAACTCACCACCGACGACCAACTTTTTTTGTTTTTCGGTACCTAAACAACAATAGAAATGAAAATATATGACTGAAACGATCAGAAAAATACTTACCAATGAAATCATGTGGATCACATTTGTAGTGTGTGAATCAATCTTGACCGTATTAAATCAAATTGAGATACCTTTTCAACCATGATAGGACGTGATTTTCTCATAAAGGCTCCTATGAAAATAATGATAACATGATGAAATACTTCTGCATTCTTGCCTTCCAAACTTCAACCAACGTATTCGATTATATGCTCACATGATGATCGATAATTTCTTGCCACACAGCATAGCCTTTTCCTGTGGCGTTCACAATATCGACCAATCTATGGTAGGCAAGATACGAGTCTAGAAATCCATGAAGATGATGAACGTAGTATATGAGATAAATAAGTACGAGAATAAAAGATTGCTCTATAATATCGGTCAAAAGCACTCGACAATAAACTACAACGTTGACTACTCTCGTTCATAAGAAAGTGAAATGTGTTCGGATGAACAGCTAAGCGTTGAGTTGTTTTCTGTATTGATTGAGGTTTAGGCCAAGGCTCTGCAACAGTTGGTTGAATACGAATTTTATTGAGAAAGCCACGTCGTTCCTGACTCGATGCAGATGGAAGACTCTCAACAATGATTACAACCAAAAGAAACAGAAGATTTTCACAGATAAATATCTTCAACAGCAAAAACTAATGGTTGGTATTTGATGTAATAGTTTTTTAACTGTGTATCTTTTCCGGGCTGTTAGGAATGTAAATATCATTTGATTCGACAACAGGATACATTATCTACACACAGTTTATCATGATACAAAAATTAATGAATTTTTCTGATAAGAATAGAAAATGCAAAATGCTTAGAAAAGCAAGACAAATAAACTCATAAATGAAAGTGAGGCATAATTCACTCTCCAAATCGAACATATAATGATCAAGAAAATCGGCAAACGCTATAAAAATGTATACTTACGGTTAGCAAAATTCATAATTCTTTGTGATTGATTCCATTAGGTTCTATTGCTGTTCGAAAACTTGGCCCAAATCGCCGATTTTCATATATTTTTTATCTCATCAATCATTTTTAAAAATATAAATTATCAAAGTAAACTTACACGTTTTTAAGAAATATAAGAATTTGTCGGAAATGAAAACAAACGTTTGTTTTAGGTTCGTCATTAGAGAAAAGAGTAGTTAGTCCTATTCTTTTCAGACATTCATAACAATAAAATAAATTATGAAAACCAACGATAGAGTAAATATAAATTTGGAAAAATAGAAAAGATTAAAAGAAAACAGGTGAAATATATATATGAAAGTATAGTTCATTACTCAATAAAATTTTATTTTATTCATACTTTTAAATAAATAAATTTTACTATATAATCTATCTCTCTATTTGTGAAATAAAATCTAGTTTTATTATCTAAGCTAGGCCATAGAAAATTACAAAAGCATTTCATTCATACTAAAAGTAAATGCTTCTTTTCCTGACTAAATGATGACATTATATGAATCGATGAATTCGAAGTTTTGATCAGTAAATATTGTCAAATAAAGTCGTCTGGAGTACGATAATTCAATAGAACATTATTGAAGTTATTTTTCCAACTGGGATTGTTGAATACTATTGACAATATTAATAAACTGTACTACTCAGTTATGATTCAATCAAATACAAACAATGAAATTGACATTTTTCAGATCTTTACAAATACAAAATAGCATCATTTTATGAAATCAAATTTTATTGAAAATTGAATATCCTGTTACAAAATAATCCAAATATAAACACGAAGAACAGTTTCCATGTTTTTTTTTAGATTTCACATCGAACATTTGAGTTGTAATGCGAGTTAATCGTTAAGTTTTAGTGTCCAATAATTTGCAATCAATTTGATAGACATAATGAATATCTTGATGTATTAAACATGACTATTTCTTGTTTATCGTAGCTACGAAGGCAGTGAAATATCACTTATGGCACTAAGTAAGCGTACACAATCACGTCTTCCATAAATATTGATATGAAGTTGCCAAGGAAAAGGACATTTGTTAATATCAATATTTAATTGTTGACTTTTCTGACTTCGCACATTGGTATAATATATCTTCCGATTAGTACAATCAAATACAAGTGCGATTATATCGTTTTCAATTGTATGATGAAATAGGATGCCAGTTTCATGATTTTGACGAACACCATTAAGAAAATAGTCATTATAATCTACCCATCCATATGCAGAGGACGATTCATATGAATACTTTTGCATTGGCTGTGATTTAGAAATAATACCAAAGAAAATCCATGTTCCTCGCGGATTTTTCTCAATTTGAAAACGAAGTCGATGTGTACCGGATGAATAGCCAATTTTTCCACGAACTTCGACAGTATAATCCGAATCACTGTGTTCGACAAGTTGACCATGATCTTCAATATTAGCACCACTACTACAATGTTCAAAGATATCTCCAGAAGTTGCAATCTGTGGCTCGGTCTCATGGTATTGAAACATATCTTTATCATCAAATGTCGAAGATGTTGTAACCAATTTAAGCTGGTATATTAATGGTGCTGATTGATCTTCTTTAATACTGTTCGATAATGAAACGTTCATTAGCTTGTCTGTCAGTTTGTTCAAAGTTGATATCCAATCGATAAGATCTGTTTCAAAAAAATCATCTTCTACACGTGCCTTTTTGATTCGTTCAGTAAGAAGATTTAGTTCTTGTGATACAGTTCCTATGGAAAAATAGATTTATATTTCACGATCAGAATTTTCAAAAAAAATTGACTCTTATGTATATCTGAAAGTTCTACAATTTTTTGACGAGTTTCTTCAGCCATGTGTTGAATCTTCACAATAGATTTTTGTTCCCATTCATCAACATATTTTATCAAAGAATTACTTTGATCTTTAGTTTCAATGATTTTTTTGTGAAGATTATCATAATCAATAATAATTTCATCAACTTGATGATGTAGTGTTTGCCGATGTTCAGTAACATGGTTTGTACAAAATGTCTGTGTACATCCTTCACATTTAAATAGTCCAGCTCCTTTACCACATGTAGCGCAAGATGTTTTTGCAGCTACAGACGCCATCAGAATAAAAAAATTCTTCTTTTTGAAAGTGAGAATGATGGTTACAATATTTTGTTTTTATTCTGTTGATTGAAGAAAGTGCACATGTAGGAAGAAAAACAAAAAGGAACTTGACGATGTGACAGACATTGGTTAGTAAGCGTAAGAAGTTGTTTTATTATGCAATCAGCTAAAATTCCCTTCTAAATTAAGTAATAACTAAAAAGGAATTTTCTTGCGAAATTAAAACTAGATTAAAATTCTGATAGTTTGTTGACGACTTCTCATAATGACAATTGAATGATTAGGGTGTGGATGTGGGTGTTACTGAGCCTAAGAACTGCACCCGTATTCAGTCACATGTACACTCTCAAGTATCAGAACGATACAACTGTTTTAACTTCGGCGTTACATATGTTTATCAAACATGAATAGGTTTCGATAGGCGAATATCTTTTTCCTTGAATGAAAAAGAATCTCGTCGCCTATGATGCGATAATGTGAGGTACGTCAATTCACCTTGATTTGTCAAATTCTTTCTTTTCTGTTTTGAGATGATGTCAGAAATAATCGGCCACAACAAGAAATCGATTTCTTCTTCAAGAATGACAAACTAGATCAAATAAATTTCATGTTATTTTTCAACGAATGTACTTTATTATGAAACAAAAAAATATTGACTATGAACAAACAAGTCTTTTCTCGATTACTTGTTAAATTCCATCAACATAATGTTCAAAACAAAGTCTTCGATGCTGTTGTTGATATATTCATCAAATTAGATAATGTGGAACCTGTCGAGTCACTTTTTCCTCGATTAAACAGAAATGTCATTTGTTATGTTTTATTGATGAAAATGTACCTTCGAAAAAGTGAATTAACAAAAGCTTTCTCTTTGTTCGAGAAAATGAAACTGAAGAAGATCAAAGCAAATGGCATTACTTTTGTTCCAATCATCAATGTGTGTAACCAACTTGGTTATCTTTCAGCTTGTATAAAAATGAGTCGTAGCTTATGTGGATTGACTCTTATAATCCAATTTTGTCAGTTACAAAGTGGATGTATTTCGATTTTACATAACAATCTTTGTCTAAAACTTCGACAGAAACGTGCGATAGGCAGGAGTTGTTTACAAGCCAAGAATCTTTTTTCGAGATGTTTTTTAACGTAATTTGTCTTTTCCTATGACGAAAACATGTTTTTTTCTTTGTGTCACTAGATAAGATACTTATCCATTTCATATACGACACGTGTTGTTGACATTATGAGATATCTTGCACTTTTTCCTGCAGAAGGAAAAACAGGCCACGTCTCTCTTAGACAAGGGTGACGAAATGTCAGATAGGATAAAATATAAAAGGTATAGCTGTTCTCTCGCCTTATCATTGTATTCACGAATGGCGACAATAACCGACAATGGACACCATAAAACAACCTTGGCTACAACTAAAGAACATCTAGTGAAATGTCTTGACAAGCTTATTAATGATGTGCACGATATTTATGCACTGCTAAACAACTCTTCAGATAAGGAAATGGCGCTTAACGATATGAAAGTATCAATCGAACGTCTTGAGCAAAACCGTCAAAATGTGATCAATATGGAACTACGCATGTGTGTGGTCGCACCGATGAAAGCAGGTAAATCGACAATCATCAATGCTATTTTGGGTCAAAACATTTTGCCATCACGCAATGCTGCCATGACTGTACTGCCCACCGAAGTTGTTCTTTGTGTGACTGAAACAAACGCTGAAATTTCCCAGCCATACCTTTCACTTCACCGTACACTGATTGATCAACTAATAAGCTTGCAGACAGATATAAGGAATCATTTCAATTCATCTGGGACGACTAATGAGAAATTGCCTCAATGTCTTCCCAGTCATCCGCATCTAATCAATTTCGCAAAGGAAATTCTAGATGATAAGGTCACATTTCACGAAACGAACGAAGGCGTCGAAAGCATCAACCTTATGTTGGAAAAAGTCAATGATGTTATTCGATTGCATGAATATTTGATTCCAACAAAAGCGCTCGGCTCGACACAACGATTGTGCTTCTGATTACCTCGTATTCATGCCTCCTACATTAGCATCGGTAATGAAACTTTGATCAATCAGTCGCTGGGAAATCTAGTTATAGTCGACACGCCGGGACCCAACGAAGATACAGCCACACCATTTCTCAAAGAGATTGTTCAACGTGAATTAGATAAGTCATTTGTAATTCTTGTCGTGCTTGATTTCAGTCAGTTTAATACCGAGGCTGACAAAGCAATTAAACTTGAGATAGCCAAAATTCGTGAGGCGAATCACAAGAGTTCTGATACACTCTTTGCACTGGTTAACAAGGTCGATCAACGCCGAAAACGCGATATGACCAAAGGGCAAGTGCAACAGTTGATCAAGAAAATGTTTTCCATTGATGAAGAATCAGCCTCGAAACATGACCGTATTTTCGAAGTACAAGCGTTTCGTGCTCTAATGTCAAAGCAATTCTTTATTGAATTAAGCGCACTACCTGTACAAGACGACGCGAACTCCTTAGATATTTCAGTGCTACCATCCGGTCAGGACTTTTTGAACGAAGCGTATGGTACCGCGTATGATGAAGATGATCCACCCAAAAAAGGCAAGGCAATAGAGGACGCAAGAACTATGTGGCGAAAATCGGGTTTCGAAGCTTTTCTCAATGGAGTCATTGAAAAGCTTATTGAGAAAGCAGCACCACATCTGTTAGAAGAAGCACTAGTACGATGCCGCAGAAACGTACATGCGTTGCACGAGAATTTACTTATTCGTGAACAACTACTAGATGCCGATGAGCAAAAGTTACGTTCTCAAATGAATGAATTGCAAGACGATTGTAGGAAACTCACGAATATCATGCATGAACAAATGCAGGAACTGCAAAGAGAACAAGAGAAGATGAAAAAATTATTTACCGAACATTTTCAGAACGTAGAACAAGAGAGTCAGCAGCAAATGCAATTGATTTTTGATCAGGTACAAAGTGAAGTTCGCGAAGAACATGATCAACAACAAGAAGAAAGAGAACATATGACACACACTGTACAAGTACTTGCTAAAAATTTGGCAACGCTGTTATATCAGAATGCGTGTACAGCTATTATCGGTGCCGTTCTTCATTTAGGATTAGTCTTTAAAAACGTTTCTGCCACATGGCCAACTCTGGAACGCATCACTTTTGATAATGAAGGAGATGCACGTCGATTTATCAGCAAGATCGAAGCCCACGTTCGTGCTATACCTGAGGCGGCGCTTGTCAGCTTGCGTAAACATGTTGATGAACAATGTGGCTGTTTCTGTTTACGACTGGATAACCATCTTCAAATTAATACAAATCTTATCCTGACCATGACTCAAGAACGACTCACTAATGAACTCAAGATCCAATTTTCGAGGCCGGCCATGCTCAACTTGAAATATAGCGACGAAAATACAATACGTGCTGAAGTGAAATTAGAAAAAACCTATTCTCCTTGGTGGTTGCTTCATTTGGTGAGCATTTCATATGAGTGCGAGTGCGGCGAGAAAGAAGGGATATCTTACCATATAAGCATGAAAAGCTTAAAAGCGCATTGCAAACGATTGTTGACAACCAGCATGAAATCGATTGAAGAAAACCTACAAAAATATGTTGACGGCGAACTCGAACAAACATTCAAGTCACACTTTGACAAACTTCGAGAGAACTTGCAACGCTATCAGAACTATGTGCAACAATCACTCACTGATCAAGAGCGTACCACTGAAGAAAAGGCTGAATTTAAAAATCAATTGAAACAACGACGCGAACATATGAATAATTATGAAAAGACTCTAAAAGAAATCTCTGAAAATTTTTACAATCGTATGAATTCGAATCAAAACGTCGAAGCCACTGGCTGATTATTCTTATTGTGAATGCAGACTCGGTTTTTTTTTTACCTAGAAACACTTCTGTCGATATCTTGTACTTTCAGAAATCCTATTCTTGAAAAATAGTAAGTGCCTAAGCGTATAGAAAGATGCCTGACATGAATGTAAAAGATATTAGTTGAACTTTTCTTTCCAAAGAATAATATTTAATAAACACTATCAAATGGACTGCTGTTTTTTTTAAATGAAGACAAAGGTGTACTTCTCTCTGTAAGAGCTGTTTTCGCTCGAGTTGAGATGGAGAAGAAAGATGATGCATTTTCTTCTGTACTCGTCTATTCAGTACCGAGTAACTTTTAAAAATGCCTTTTTTCAATTTTCGCTTAAATGCATCAAGTTAAGAGAAAAAAACAGTTACTGTGTGTCTGGAATTTTTTATGAATAATATTATCGATGTCTTGGGTGCCGCAGAGAAAACAAAGATGACACGACTTTTACCATTGATAAAAATTTTCATCTGAAACGAAACGAGAAAAATGGCACTTTCATTTTATGGTTTTAAATTTCTGGAACCCTTGCGTACCATTTATGTTCTTTTCCAAAGAATTGAACTTTCAATTTTTTCACCATCGTACCAATCCGCAAACTCACCGCTGAACTAAATCAGTGCGTTCATATTTACCAGAGAACATCTCATTTAAATTAATTTAAAGTTGTAATCGTAATATTAGTCAGAAAGAGAATACTAATTCATGTCAAAGCATTATAACATGATAGAGTATCTTTGTTTTTTGTTATCTCATGCCCCTCAATCTTATCGTTGAGACATGAACAAGAAATCATGTTTTCCCTTGTTCAAAATATTGCATTTGGTGCAATTTTTGATGAGACCCGATTGGAGTTGAAAACTGATCAAAATACGAATAAAGATTTTGCAAAATATATCAAAGGAATTATAAAAAGTATCACTTAGCATTGCCACTCCCGTTAACCCATTCATGAAAATTTGAGTCCATGCCAATGTTCCTTCATTCAGATAAAGTAATACTTGAAACAATGAAAAAATGCTTCCCGTGTCCAACAGAATGACGCCCTGAAACATATTTGAACGATAAAAAAACGACGAAAAGTGGTTCCGTTATGTCTCCAGGGTATGGGTGTGGATATTTCTATTCTATGAACTTGCATCTACATCCATACTCATATGATCAATTTATCATTCATATAAGCCCTTTGTTTTCCATCGTAATCACCTAGAAATTCAGAATAGTTAGTTAACAACGGTTAAGTTAGGAGTGCAAGTCGGCAGTTTTTTGAGAGCGTCAGTATACAAAAAAAGAAGACAGAAGGCTGACTAGCAAATTGACTAACAGTAAAATCAGCAGTCCGATAGTATCTAATACAGCTTCTGATGATGAAGTATCAAAGTTTTTGAAAACATCAAGAAGTACCTGAAAGTTTTGTAGATTGTTATCATTATCATTTGAGCACAAATTTTTATCATTTTCTGCCATGTCTTCAAATGGCACATTTGATAGAAATGATATGTATATTTCGAACGACGTTTCACCATTAAATATTTTTCTTATCGTAGATAAAAAAGTTGTCATACGATTATAGAATAACTCATCAATTTTAGTCATAAAATCGGCGCTATCTGCTGTTAAATGCCATTTAATCAAGATATCTATGAGCGTATTTTTTAGTAACAAAATTAGGCTATGATTAATCGAGCCAGCGTCGAGGAGTATCGCTTGATCAATTTTAGTATTCAGTTGATCAAGTAAGTCACACATTCTTTTTTTTATCATTATTTACCTCCTTTACAAGATCATTGAATATGCACTTTAATTCTTTAGTCTTCGTCTTGTGTGTCATTTGGTCACACCATCCATAAAATTTATTTGACGCCGATGCTATGTTGCAATATTATGCTTAAAAAGAAGTAATAAAATGTAGTAACTTTTTAAAAATAAAAATTTAATGTAAATAAAATACAAGAACTACAATTTTAAAAGTTTCTTTTATTTATCCTTTCTTAATTTATTTTCTCTAATAGACTGAATACGAAACATATTTTCTGCGTTGTCACCGATGATAATTCTAATAATTTACTGTGTGCGTCAAATAAAAGAAGAAGATTTTTTAGAAATGTAAACTTATTGAGCATGAATCTCTACAAGGAACTATTCTTTGAACTTTGGTCATGAAACCGATAAATAAGATTAAGTTTTGAGTGTGTCAGTGGGTGCTGGTATGGGTGAACGTGAGTATGAGGACGTGAGTGTGGATGTGGCAACAGGTGTTACGGTGCGGTTTTCACGTACTGCCACATCCAAAGTCACATTCGCAGTCCATACTAGATTCGAATTCTGATAGTTTGTTGAAGACTTCTCATAATGACAATTGAATGATTACATTTTTATGCTATTATTCATTTTGAAAATCGATTATTGAAGAAAGAAAACTGCATTTCAAGTTAAATCGTTTTTTCTTTAGATTAAATTGAGTCATGCTACAATGGCTTGTGAATTATTGCGAAAGATTGGTTTTTTTTATTCATTGTGAAATTTTGACAAGAAATTGCAAAAATAAAACATATCAGCGAATAGTTTTGATCTGCTGACCTTTGAATTATGAGCTCAACGCTATACCGCCGCACCACACTGTTTGTATTTGTTCCCTAGTAAATCATACAAGATTGTTTTATCTTAAGTTGCGCACCATTTATCAATAAAAAGAAGCAAGACAGTAAAGCAGCTTTCGAAAAAGAAAGTTTATAGTTATTCTTTAGAAGATTTCATATTTAGATTATCTTGTTTAGTTAGTTTTTCTTACTTTGTTCGAAAAGTACAATTGAACAGGGATAATGTGCTTATTTCCTAATATAAACATTATTCGGATCAAAACTCCGTACGCCTAATAGTCTATTTTTACCCAATTAAGTGAATATAGCGTTCCGTTTGTACTTATTGTTGGACTACAAAACTAAAACCAATGAGAATAATAGTAGCTAAAATCTGTTAGGTTATATAAAGTTCTTGAATAATGATCATTGAAAGAGCTCATTTATTCAATAGTAATGATAATTAGTGATAATAAGCAGAGTCTCTAGTGTATTTTATGTCGGTTATCATTATTCATGTAGAACAATAACATTTCTACACGAGTTATATACGTATTAATTTGAAAATTCTATGATGAACTGTTAGTTTTATCAATTTTGATCAATATATGATACAATTGAAGAAATCTTTCAAAAATTTATCTAAATTCTTTTTTTTATTTTTCCTAAAGATGATCACAAATAGCATGTTATTGTCATCAAAGTTTAAAACATGTAGAAACACCTGCCAAATCTATTACTCCATATTTTGCTGTTTGTCTAAATTCGACCTAAATTATTTCAGTTTTCACTGCGACATACTATTATTAATTTGTATATTTTTGATTATAAATTATAGCACAAATATTTATAATTCTTGACTTGAAGATATAAGTTGAATACGATCTTCAACATCATATAGATAAAATAGTAACTGCCAAGGAAATGAACATACTGCGACATCAACATTCATTTCTCGAGTATTTTTTGTTTGTTGATTGAAATAGATGATTTTTTGATTGTCACAATCAAGAAAAAGTTCAATTTCAAATTTAATTTGGCATTTCATATCCCGAAAGTCTTTACTAACTTGTGAGCAACCATGAGGAGAAACTGCTTTGTCATTGGTGCACCAACCATATGTTGATGTTTTCATTTCGGCTTCCGTCTGTGGGATTGATTTTGTTTTCGACATAATACCAAAGAGACAATAGTATTCCGCCGTTGTTTGCTTTAAAACAAATTGAATTTTATGCTTACCTGATGAGTATTCACATATTCCACGCGCAAATCCCTCGCATCTTTTTGAATCAGTATGAATAGCCACATAACCATGGTCTTCAATAAGAATATTACGAACCGATTCTCCAAATTTTTCATTCTGTTTCAAATATGACTTTGTTTCGGAGATACATATTTTGGCGACAAGTATTTTTGTTGGATCTTCATAAATATTAATCAAACGAGAAATACTAGTAACATGACGTTTTAGTTTTTCTAACATAGTTGTCCATGTACAAAGATCATTTTCAACATAGTCATCATCGATTCGAGCTTTTCGTAATCGTTCGGCGAGATCAAACAACTCTTTCGATGCATTTCCTTAACATATACATTATGATTGACAAACAACAAATCGATCATTTCATTTGCATTTACCTTTATGTGAACTAATCAATAATTCTACCTGTTGTCGTGTTTCTTCTGCTACTTGTTGAATTTTTATAATCGAATCTTGTTCCCACTGGTTAATTTGCTTAATAAGAAAATGTTGATTCTTCTCTTGGCTACTGTGATCAATAATTGTTTGTTGTAGAGCATCATGTTCAAAAACAATTTCATCTAATTGATGGCTAAGCATATCTCGATGTTCATTAGCATGTTTCCGACAAAATGTTGCCGAACATCCTTCACATTTGAAAATACCTACACCTTTATTACCGCACGTGGCACATTGTGTTTTTGTTGATGTTAAAGACGCCATGAAAAGTAGTTCTTGTCTATAGTAAAGGATGAAAAGAAAATGATTCGTTCTCTCTCATGCTTGTACAAAGGTGATAGAAAGTAAATAGAATAACGAGAATTTCATGGCAAATGAAAGCATGTGATGTTGCTATTACGATCTCTAAATTCAACACATGTCTTTGATAAATTATTTTGTTGAATATATTTATCTAAGAATAATAAAATTTAAGGTTCTTAACCAATTTTTAGAAAGATGAAAGATTAATTTATTTTGAAAATTGGTTTCTTTGACGTATTGAAATAAATGATCTTCCATTCATCAAATTTGAGACAAAAATGAATCACAATCATAAAGATTTTTTTTCTCTTGGCTGAAGAATTTCACGAAATGGTGTAACATATAACATCCAAAGAATTCTTTTCATCATTATTTTGAGTCCAAAAATGAAATTACTTATCTTCTTTGATTGAGTAAAGCGTCGACCTATCGAATTTGAAGACCTACTATTAATCTCTTTATGTAAGACCGTTTTATTGGTTCAATGATCGTGCATCATCACTTCCATGTTATTGTAATAATAGAGGAAAATGTAGAAGTGAACCGATAAAAATTAATATGTTGTTGACATATGTTATTTAAAAATCGCATAATTTAATTTGAGACAATTTATAATTTCTGAAGACATTTAATTCATAGCAAATACTATTTCAATGTTTCATGAGTTGAGATTTATAACACATGTATTAACATTGTTTTTGATTGCTTTTCATTTGTCCGATAATGACTCTATGGTCAATTGTATGTTTTAGTAGGTGTAATTCGCTGCGTTATCGCTATTGCGTGTAGCTGGAGAATATTGGGTTTAAATACATTCGAATTTTTCCGTTTATTTTTCAAAACTATTGATTTTGTAGACCCTATATTTCCAAGATAGAGCGATGAAAAAAATATTTTTTTACCATTTAATAGCTCATGAAGTTCATTACGAAAAAGTATTTTTATCGTTTACAATCTGAATGTGTTGAATGAATTGATTCAATTGTAGATCAAATATATAAATGAAAATGGCGTGATTGTAGTACCAAATTCCTATCAATTTAGTTATAAAGACCACCAAAACAAGAAATGGAAATCTAATAACGTTTTCTATTATCTTTACAAACAAACACGGAAATCAAATGTGCCAAATTTTCCGTATTAGACTTGCTTCAAATGCTTTCCGAATTTTGATTTGTTTGTTTGAATGATAGCAGTTCTTCGAGTTCGAATTTTTTAGTATAAATATTACGTAGTAGATTACAATCAACTTTTAAAACTCTGCAAAATTATATGATTGTTTCTCAGTCATGAAGAAAATATCTATATTTTCATACTTGCCACCAACACAGGAAACATGAGTGCATGAAGTTTTTTTTTTGTCAATATATTAGTCAACTCTTCACATTTTCATTTAGAATCTCAATCTGATTCCTATAGTGTTAGAGTTTAAAAAGATAATAGTGACCAGAAAATGATCTCTTATGAGCATGTTCTTCAATGGCTTTTCTATATTTGACTCTGTAAAGTCATCCAATAAATTAAATACATTTCAATGAAAATTCGTTGTAGGAACATCTTATTTCGCTTTAAAACATTTACTCAATCGAACAAAATCATTCATGAAAAAGTTTCAGATTGAACTGAGAAGACTGATTTGTATGATCTTTGTTATTCAGAGTTCCTCATACGAGAGTTTTTGAGGATAATTTCGGGATCCATCCATTTTGATAAAAATTCTTTACGGTCATTAAAATACTTTTTTGTGACTATTTCTAGATCACACTGTTGATGAGAAAACTGGAAAATAGATTTGCAAGGTATATCCACATTGCGAAAAAGAAAATGATAGAACTCTTCATCTTTTTCATCTCTTCGAAAATCAGATCAAAATTTCAAAACAAAATATATTTTACCTGTTTGTTACTATAAGATCCATTCGATTCTTCTCTTATTTACTGAACATTATTTTCTATTCATCTATTTTTATCATTCTTTTTTCATCTCACATGTCTGTTATTTGTTTTCTTGTGCGTTTTCTATTGATTGTCAATCGATATTTTCATGTCTCTCTCTCTTCTTTGATGAGATATAAATATGATTCACTCCATTATGTATATTCATATCCACCAATCTATCTTATTTACTCATAGATTGATGAGTCAAACAAAATGACACAGCTGAGATTATACGTTCTGTCATATAACGCATAGAATGTGTACTATTAAGTCTACATTTGGCTTCTTGTATGCCATCACGGTGCAATATCATTATAATGATGCATCTTTTTGCTATTATATTAACTGTTAATCTGGGCTTATTCTACACGTTCATTAGATAGTTCATACCTATTACTTATATTTTTTACTTCGTGGTGCTTTGCCCGACTAGTATTAGTGCAATGATTACGCTCAATTTATTAAATATAGCTGCTGACATCGACGACAATAAATTTACTTTTCACAGAATATTTTAATGACTAAAATAGACTGTCACATTTCACAAATATCATTATACTTTTGCGCATCCTGCTGTAACTCTGTCGTACATAAGAAGTGCGTATTCGATGATTATGCTAAATAGGTCTTATTTGGTACCACTGCAACCTTATTCATCTCAGTTTTTCTTTGTCTGCGTTGACAAATCAGCAGTATATTTCGAACTTGAGGAGATGCAAGTGCCAGAATAACATTTACACTTATCAACTGAGATCATACAGGTCAGCCACTGAACTTGCATTGCCCACCAAAGGAAATAACCATCGACAATAAATATTAGAAAGGCAATCATTGTAGAGACGGAAAAAACAAGCATCGGTATGAGAAGAATACTAATTTGGAAAAGAACTATAATATCTTGCTGAGTTGTAAGTTGTTGAGCATGTGTCATATTGAGTCTTAAGTTGTTATTTCTTCTGTGAGTTTTTCGCACGGTATAGACATAACAGCCTACAATTGTGTCTACCGGAATCAAATACGTAAGTAATAGATGAAAATAAAAACTATGTTTATTGAAAAATGTAATTTGACATTGTAAATATTCGGCTACATACGCAATGTCACCAAGAAGGAGTGTAGGTAGTAGTATCAAGAAGCAAACTATCCATTGAACAACAATAGCGACTCCATAAAGACGAAACGATTGAAGAATTTGACGAGTATAGAAAACGACTCGGTACAAACGAAATATTGCTTGAAGCGTATGCGAATAAAATACTGCAGTAACAGCGATCATTGTGAAATAACCACGAACACGACAGAATACATCATCTTCCATAGATGATGTTTGGTAAAGACGTTTGCTTAAAATACGTCCATATATGTTGAGCACCAATACACAGAACATAAATATCGACAAATACATATTCGCTGTTAATAAAAGAGGCACTTTGTCCGAAGAATATTTCGTTATTTTTAAATGATACTGTATCAATGTGAACATCACTAACGACAAAATGATACCGAGCGATGCAGTGACAATGATTGAAGAGTCGAGTACGATATTACCGATACTTGATGTTGTTGAGTTCATAGCTATGTTTCACAGTAAAAATAGAATGAATATGAATTAAGTCTCCTAGTTAACAAGAGCAATGCGTTTTTGTCATTCAGAAGTTATCTTAAAGTTGACGGCAAGTGAAATAATTGCATTCAAACCAAAAAAAAAAGAACAGAAGAGCCTGCCCCTTTTCTGGCATCTATTTCAGTAAATGATGTTGCTCAGTAGAAGTATGTGACGATACAACGTAATCGGTTCTGTTCTTTTACTCGCGAGGTAGAGATGCCACTCCAGTCTTTCTTCTGTTTTTCATTGTATATGCTTAAACCATGCGTTATAATTTATGATTACACAATACACTAATGAGTTGAAAATAACGCTTGAGCTATATTCTAGGAAATTGCATTTGTATGAAGAGAAGCCTACTTTTCTGATAAAATTTCGGGTAGAAATGAGTTTATAAGAACATTAGAAAATATAGAACATTTGAGTTTCATACTCGTTCAACTATTCAGTACAGAAATTACCTAACAGAGTATCTATCCTTAGAATAAGGTTTGCACAAATTCAATTTCAAAATTTTGAGTGGAAATATGAATTAAAAGCTTCGATTCCTCGCGTTTATAGATGAACGTCGTAGTTTAAATATATCTTATAGCAACAAGGATCGGCCTACTGAAGTGTATTGATCTATTACCGTGTCACGGTTCATAACGTTAGTGATATGTTTATTTTATTTTCTATTATTTAATATGACACTTTGTCTATTTCGCTTTTGATGTGTTACTGTGTTCTGGTTATTTTCTTTCTTTTGGTCTCACTAGAATAGAATTGAAGAATACATATGAACGGTTGACTTTCATCTCTCTATAGAACAAAATAAAAATGTCAACAAAAAGATGTTTCTAAAACATTACAATAATTTTCACAAATTGTTAAACAACCAAATGTTATACAAAAACACAGGAATGTAATGGTCAAAGATACTCAGTGGTTATTACGTGCTGTATTAGAATTTGTCATAAATAACTCACAACAAATTAATTAATCTGATGAACCACCACAACATATGCTAGAAACAAATCATGTTGAGTAAGAATGACCGAGCAACTACTCTAATCAAGACTAAATATCATTCGTATGAAAGAGTACTGAAAGAGATGATTGTACTGCACAATGTTTAGCTTGTGAGAGAAATTGATGACGATATTCCAATGAAAATAAATGATAAAAATAGAATGAAGAAAAATGAATTCGAATGGGATAGAAAACAAGAAAAAGACTACAATAGAGTAAGAACAGTACAGAATATACTGTTGTTATAAAATACACTAGGATATAATCGAGCTCATGATGTTCTCATTATCAAAAAAAATGGATAGCTGATCTTACTGAATTATTCAAGGTAGTTCTCAAGCCTTACGGAATCGGGTTCACGACTGAGACCAACCTTGTTGAAAACGACAGGAAGAAAAACATCGATCCCAAAAATAGACTACAGCTACTTAATGCATCATGACTGCTGCAGTTTAATATTACTTATTATAGTTCGTAATGAATATGCTGAGATTGTTGCCTACGTTCAACTTAATACGGTCAGGTATTAAGTTTTTTTTTAAATAAACGAAAATTTGAAATGAGTTGCGTGTCAACGGATGGTTGGAGAAATCTGTTGTTGAATATTCATACTTGCTTAGATTCGTCTTTTAAGGAGAAAAACTACACCCTACAGGCTTTTCAGACGGCTGCAAAACATGTGCAAAAAGTTTTTTTCGTGAAGTTGTTCTATTATCAATTGACTCAGAAGTCACTTTGAAAGTTTCAGCCTTCTAAAACTCCCCAGACAATAGTTGATTTTTTTTTCTAATATTTTTAATAAAAGAATTCTGTTAGATGCTGTATATTATGCTATGATTCCACCGAAATATGGCAACATCTCGACATATTCTATTCCTATGTACTCAAAATTCTGTACACGAACATTCTCTGAAGTATTCAAATACAAGACAAATCCATGTAGCATATTTTTAGAGAATACATTTTCATTTAATATGAGACATAACTGTATGATTATTATAAGACTTTGATTATTATGATCTTGAATAGTTTCATTCCTATTTATCATATGCAGCTCAACTCGTTCGAACAAAATCAATAAACGTTTTGTTTTACTACGAGCGTCTACTTTTTATCTACGACAATATTTTATTATATTACTCACTATGTAGATTGCGATGAATCAACCATCTGTTCTTTTGTTTCTACGCATAGTCATAACCACACTAACAACCTACGAAAAATCATGTGTATGGGCTTTTTCCAACCATGCGTATAAACAATTATTTGCGTCTTTTTTTTTCTTTCATTCGAGTTTAAAAAAAAATTTGATGCATAGAATAATTACGTTTTCTTATAGAATACTACGAAAAATTAATTTTAGAATTTTTGTGGCTTACAAATATGACTGACATCAATAACAACGCACATGATCTTATCAAATCTACAACTATTGTATCAAAGAGTAAGCACCTTTCGATCCTAGAATGGTTCTGGCGTCTTGGAAAACAATGGTGGCAACTAGGTAAACAATGGTATCTATATATATGGTCCTGCTTAGTACGAGTAAGTAATTTAGTTGTTTTCGTCAATGTGAATAAAATTATATTGACTAGTCAAATGTAGATTTTCAAAATGCGATTCTTGCGCAAGAATAACATATCGATTCAGACACTAGTAAATGATGCTTGCTGTCAAACTGATACGTGTGATGATGGTATATTATCATTAAATAATTCATTTAAACATTATATAAATTGATTTTATTTATTAGAAATACAGGAAACGGAACATGTCGATGCTTTGGATCAGTTGAATATATGTGATCCTTTTACACGTTTGAATTCTGATGATTTATTAGATCAGAAACGTTTAACAGGTAACTGAAAGATCATCAGTTCAATAAAATTTATTTCGTTCTCTTTATTTTCAAAATATATAGATATTACTTCAGCTACTACAACTGTTTCTTCTGAACTACCATTTTCATCTACACTTGGTGAATATTTATATCAAGAAGTTCTTTTAACTAACACGTTTCATATCTATATAAAATCTTGTAGAGAAATTGTCAATCTTACCTGACCAATCATCGTTGGCTTCTCAGGAAAATTTGAATTCGTCGGACGAAGAAAATTTTTATCCAATTAGCACGTCGTTTTCTGGAAAAAATAGAGATAAAGTAGAGCCGATTTGTGAAGAAGTCCGAAAAAAATTGTCTGAAAAAATATTCTTTGCTCCATGGTATCAACATAAAGTGGCACAAATATATGGAAACCGATTTTTACGCAAAATCTATGAGAAAGCTTCATTTGTTGTTGTCTTTCTTTCACGTGACTATGCAATGTCTAACTTTTGCTTTTATGAATGGCGAGTTATTCAACAACGTTTTATGGTACGTCCAGCTGAGCAGAAAAATCATAGACTTCTACTCATTAAATTAGATGATATCGACGAAGAAGCTCTGGATCTATTCAAAGATGACTTCTACATCGATGTTTTAGAAATGACCACTGCAAAAGAAGTGGCCGATTTAATCATTAAAAGATGGCGCATCGTTGAGCAGCTGCAAATTACATAAAATGTATAAACTTGAAATTATTGTCTCGTATTTAGTAACTATTAGTTCAATCGATCAACACACAATTCATCAACAATTCTTTTCTTTCCATTATCAATCTTTGAAGTTCTTGCATTTTATGTTTTCTTTTCTCTACAATTTTTCACTTCTTAGCCAAGCTTTGATCTCATTTGTACCGTAAACTATGTAATAAACATGATGTGTTTACAATCACAAAAATTTTTCTCATCTATCAACATATGGGAACGTATCCATCAGGATAGATTTAGGTTCATTCTTGGTTTGTATTGGTTGCTATTCTGTCAGACCTAGAATTCCATGACGCATGTTTTGATCGATCATTCCAAGCATATTGAGCTTACACATATATTTCGTCTCAATGATTTTCTCGAAAGACTATACGATATAAGAACGAACCACCATCACTAAAATATATATGACTCTTAACTCTATCGATATTGAAAAAATATGCAATATCTATTGTAACTGTTATGATATGGCCATTCAATTGTTAATAAATTAGAATCTTAAACCAAGTGTTTTACTCAATCTATCATCTGATATGACAAAGCACTGTCTTTTGTTCGTATTCAAAAAATAAGTAGTATTTCTATTTGAATTCTTGCCAAATATTCTATTGGCTCGCTATCTCTATACTCAGTTTCTTTGTTCAATCTAGAATTGAATTATTCATAGAATCAAATTAAACTTGCACTAGAATATGTTGTGATCGCAAAAGGAAAAATTAAATAATATATACAAGCGACAAGCAACACAAAATCAGTTCGTAGTCTATACTTTTGCCAGAAATGAAATCAGCAAAATAGTGATAGAAGACTTGAGCCACCTTTTTGATCAGCATTTCCCCCAAAATACATGAAGTTCTAGAGAGAAAAAGTGAAGAATGAATTGTAGATGAAGACAAATTCAAAGACACAGCAAGACAGTAATACGTACGACGAGAAAAAGAGCACCCAAAGCTACGGCCTTCATTTGAACAGGTAAACTCACTGGAACTAAACAAAAAAAAACAAATATTAAACTTCAATTAATCGGTTCTATTCTAGCTTACACTTTATAGTATATTTTTCAGCACCTGTGAATGCTTGATTGACAAAACCGGCATACTCTTTGTAAATAGCACCTAATTCTGTATCACCTTCATCCTCAGCAGCATATATCTATTCATAGAAAATTTTCTGGTTAAAGAAGTAAATGAATTTTTCTGGTTTTCTTCTAAATTTACAGTAAATTTATTCTCACAACAGCAGCAAAAAACTCCTTGGCATATACAACATGGACCGATTACACGCAAATGTTCTTTACCACCAGCATCTCTCAGACTCAGATGACCTCGCCAAAGACTTCGTCTGAAAAATAAGTAATCAGTATTAAACCTTTGGTCAATATTGAACTTACGTTTGCCTAACAGTACCAATATGAACTCCAGGTGGTGATTCAATAAATGCTTCATGTGCACAACAATTAGCACCAGCACACCAACAACATCCAACACAACATTTAAATTCACGTGAGATGCGAATAATTTCCTACAATGTTAAAGAATATTAGCAAAAAATTAACATATTTCATACATACTTGATTCATTTGATCAAGAATATGAATGATGAAAGCACGATTAGCACCACAACACCATCGGTGACATGTACCACTTTCATCTACAGAAAAAAAAATGCATGATAATTGAGTTCGTGAACAAGTTAATCAAGTGAAAAATTACGATTTACTTTCTACTGCGTAGAACACAAGTTGACCTTGTTCATTGAGTATTTGAAATCGTTGAGCACTCGCGAGACCCGTAACAGCTATTCAAAAAGATGATGACATAACATAACGAGGAAAATAACATATATTTAATTAAAATACTTTGCATGGCACTCGATTCTTGTCGAGCCATTAACGTATCAAGTTGAGCGAGATAGTAAAGACCCAAAGGCATGCCCTGCGAAATACTAGCTAATCCTGGTGATGGCATCCATTGAAGGTTTTGTGGTATTGGCTGATCGCCATATTGTGGCTGTTCGATTTTTGCTTTAGACATTATCGTCGTTTCTGTATGAATTCTTTGAGCCATGACAAGATGAAAAACTCGACAACTACAGTAGATAAGTAAGTATTGAAACAATACAATGTTTGCTTCTTTATTTTTATTTTTATTTCAACAAACCAGTATATACTAGTTGTAGACAACAAAGAAAAATGAGTCGGTGAATAAATTGGGGTATTTTATAAGAGAAAAGATTAAAAAAATTCTCTGACAAATATTTACCTTCAAAGTAAAAACGTGAAGGATCACGACGTTTTGAAGTGTTCTCATCCACTACCAACAGTGTTTCATTTGCAGTAGATATTAATCGATAAAGCATAGCCATAACCATCTGTACCTATGAAATTCTTGTATAACCCATTTCATCATAACACAATTAGTGAAGAAAGGTTCTCAACTGATTCATGCCGTTTTCAATGATATTTTGTCAATGTGCTGAAGACACTATACTAACAAAAATCTTCAGGAGGTTCGAACTGATAGGGCTTATCTCGAAGTTTATGACAATTTTATTGCTTCTTTTTTTATCTATCACAAGGTATATATAGGACAGATTGGCTTTTTTTTAAATAGAACATCTCGATAATGAAGCATTTTTCAGTTGACATTTAGAGCGTTGTAATGATCAAAAAAACTGTATATGAGAAACATTTCAGATAGAAATTCCTTTGTTCAGTTTTGCTGTACGCATCTTGTACTAAGTGAAAGCAAATCAGTAAAATTGTCATAATCTTCGAAATAAGCCTCGTCAGCTCAAACTCTCTTAGGATTTTTCTTAGAATAATATCCTCAATATATGTAGAAAATATCATTGAAACTGACATAGATCATTTGACGACTTCTCATCGTCAGTTTTGACTAATTTATATGTTCACCAGCTTTTTTTGTTGAAACCTAGTCCTACTCTCTATTTGATATAGATTTTATATTTAACAACCATATATTATAAAATAATTGTTTAAGTTACTTTCGTGCAATAAGCGTCAAAGTAGAACAATGACATTAGATCACATGGAGAGTGAATGACTCTAACAAATTAGCTTCCTACCCAATATCAGAAGGATTCTATAGGGTAATATCTACGTAATTGACAGCGCCTCACAACTTCTCTTCATTTTACGCTAATTGACACGTGTCTTTCATTTTTTCATACAGTCTCAACGATACAGTTTTATTTTCACTGTTACGAGCTATTGCTTTAGAGATTATGGGTTTACATATGAATTACTGGCTACAGTCAATTATATCGATTTGAATCCGATGTCGGTGCTGACTACAGAAAATCATTCCAATATGTCTGACACAAAGTAGAAAAACTACCTAAATTTTTAAATATCGAGTTTTCTCCACATGAACATTTCAAGAGAACACTTTTAACTTTCTAAATGGGTCTTAATTTACATAAATCCATACGATCTTTTTCTTTATTTTGAAACTCTAAATCATACACAAGTTAAGTCCGACCAGATCTTTTATATTGGATTTCAAGGATGAGAACAGTAGAAGTTATAGGAATGCCATTCTGAGCGACTTTCCATAAAGAGAAAATTCGCTAGATCATCGGCCAAGCTAGCCGTCGCCAAAATCTTGGCTGTATATTTCTATATCGCATTGGACAGTTGACATCGAAGAACTACCAAGTCCCAAGTTTTGGTCTTTACGGTGAGCGCGTACGGTACTAGCACCCATCCATAGTTTCTAGCAATCAGATAACACTTGACTGAAACTGATATTCATTATTTTATAGTTAGGTTTATAAAAAGTCACGATCGGTAAAATGAGTTGCCTCTATGTGTAATCATCTTTTCTTCTTGACCATTGTGCATCTTAATATCTTGCGTACACTTGAAAGTATTGGTGAAATATGAAGCTTTGTTTTTGTTTGAGAAAGCATTTTAACAAAGAAAACAAGAAGAATTAGAATAGGAATGTTCTGCTCAGCATGTTCATATTCTTGTATGTTGAATTTAGCCGTGTTTATGCCTGAAGTTTATTGACTCTTTAACAACTATGTGCATTAACCCAAGTTGAGTGTTGACATATACTGATGAGAAGAATATGACTCTTTGATCGAGCATGTCTTTTTAAGAAAATATGACTAATCACAATTACATTCATGTAAGTCAATTCGCACGCACACGCATAGAACAGTAAAGGGAGTAAAAGTACGACAATTTTCGAGTTGTTGTATGCTCAAGCATGCAATCTTGAATCTTTTGTGTAGTATCATTGACTTTTAGAAATACTATATATCATGATGTGAATATTCGTTTAAGCTGAAATGTGCAGGATATGTAATAGGTAATGGTTTCCGTACAATGAACATAACTCATCAAGGAATAAACCGAAACACAAACCTTATTAAACATACTCTCTGAGAATCTAAATGACATAGAGACATTCCTATTATTTATATGGCTTGTCTTTCACGAAGAAACAATCTACGACATGTACACTAAAAACAAGGCTCTTCATATCGTTGACTTCTTACGTACAATACTGTTGTGCATAATGATGTTTTTTTCCAAGGAATTGTTAGTAATGCTAGATAGAGCACAACGAAAATAATTCATTGACATATAAAAGAAAAAAGTGAATGAAAGTATAATACTAATCAAAATAAAAGAGTTATGTCATGTCACGAAAAATAAAAAAATCATTGAAAATGTCGATGCTCAACGAAGAGCTTAATTGGAACTGCAGGTCGCATGATGGCTTCGAAGGAAAGTTGAATTTCATCAATGGTCTGTGTGGCTCGAAAAGAGTATCGACGAAGCAGTGTGGACAAAATAACCTTTTCTTCCAGTTGGGCAAAACGTTGACCTAAAAAAAGAATGATTATTTATGTTTGTCATTGATGTAAGCAAGAAGGAGAAAGAGACTGACCAATGCAGTTGCGAGATCCAGCCGAGAATGGAACAAAGGCATATGGCGAGCGTTCTTCATGTGCTACTGAGCTTTTATAAAAACGATCAGGATCAAATCGTTCTGGTTGAGGAAATGCATTTGAGTCATAATGAGCACCATAAATGAAAATATATAAAGTGGTGCCCTTTCGAATCGTTTGACCATCTTATGACAAAAGAAGCAAAGATATTCAAAATTAGTGTTTATCTGCAACAGAAGAAAATATTCTTCCGCTTACTGCAAATAAAATCTTCTTGTGCTTCTCGCATAACGAACGGAACTGGTGGAAGAACACGCATAGATTCCTATGTTCATATAAATTTTATCATCGACTTATGCAGATGTTTCTGTCACACTCACTTTGATGACAGCATCGAGATAGACCATTCTTTGTGCATCTTCCATTGTGCATGGTCTCTCTTTGTCATCTATTCAGTAATCATACATATATAATCTTTGATTTTTAGAAAAGACAAAATGAAAAAATACCAGAAAAGATAGCATCTATTTCCTCATGAACTTTTGCTTGGACATCTGGATTAGATCCAATTAAATAGCAGGTAAAATTGACAGCGGCTGCTGTTGTATCATGTCCCTAGTTGGATTCATGATTAAAATATGCCAAGAACGAAGATAAAAACGCACTTCGAACATGAACGTATCGACTTCTTCTTGAATATCGTCTAACGAGAGTTGTTCGGAATTCATTTGAGCGAGAAGACTATCAAGAAAGACAAGACGACGAGTAGCTTTCTTCTCATTATTATGCATTGTATTTTCTTAGTTGAATGTAGCGAGACGATTTTCAATAATCTATTAACCAAAACAACGCATTACATAATTAAGAGAGAGAGAGAGAGAGTAAAAGACAGAAAGGGGTTACCTTTCGAGAAACACCATGGAGGATTTTGAGTCGTTCGGCTTGTTCACGACCCAACGGCAATCGATCGAAGATCCATGTAGGCCACATCCACGGAGATCGTATGCGATGATTTATTATACCACACACACTAAAAGAATGATTGGCAATAGCTTGTTCACAAAATAAGTTCTCATCGATCCGAGACAACCTTTTGACTTCAAAAACAATTTTTTCTCAGAAAATATATTTCTCGACGAAATTACTCATTTTTGCTCTGAACTACGTTGTTCTTCACATGCGATAATAATAGTGTTTCTCTTTATCTGTACGATCATACATATCCATTTCTACTCGTCTCCTCTCTATTGCTATTGGTCTTCTTTTCTCTTATTCATATATAAACAAGTGGCGTTATCATCTCATAATTTTATTGTACCGTCCAGTTGCTTCGACGAATTCATTCTTTCCACCGCTCGATTGAGCTTCAACATGTTCGCCCATAGCCGCCTCTAGAATTTCAATCAGTGAAGAATCATAGTTTTGATCTATTCAATAGATCTAACCGGCAATAATATCGAGTGTACATGTTGATATATATGGATAGAGATCGTATGCCTTCGCTTCTTCTCCGGTTCGAATGCATTCCTCAATACGTCGAGCAAATACAGATGATTGTTCATTGAATATGAGCATAAAATTGTGTAACAATTGAGTGTCATGAAAAGATGGTGTAATGAGACGACGACGAGTACGCCATTTGGCATTGTTACTAGGAAAGGAAAAACAAATGTTTAGGATTGATTGAACCTTTTATCTATACCTGGTAAGTAGACCTGTCTTTAACCAAGGTTCAAGAAAGGTATAATCGAATGACTTGACGAGTTGTTTGCTATTGTTGATAAATGTCTGAAGTCGAGAGATATAACACTAACAAAGAAACTGAATGACATATTCTTACCGCGAGACTTTCTCCTGTACACGCAAAAATCATCGGCCAGAGTGAATACCAGAGACAAAATATACCTTTTCCTTGTTGTTGTTGTTGTTGACATTCCCTTGCCATATGCATGAGCAAACGAGAGAATACATGTTGCTGCTTATCGAATTGATGTATATTGCCAACGAATGGTATACGTGAGATGGGAAGAGATGGTATATTACGATAGTCTCGTCGCAATTTAGTATATTTTATCCAAATCGGTACCAAATAGTAAATAACAAGAAAAAGTAGGATAAATATTATCGTCAAGGACAATAACACCATGATAACAGTAAAATTATTTAACTCAATGAATATTGCACTAGAGTATACGTGAAATTGTTTGTTACAGTATGAAAAAAAGAGAAAAGAGAACGAAAGATAAGAGTATACGCCAATAATTAGCCCAAATTCAGGCAAACGACATAAAAACACGTTGTTTTTTTTATCATTCTTTTCTACCTGGTGTTAAAACGATTTTGTTGTCGCTGTTGTCAACAAAAAAAAAGCCGATCAAAGTTTATTACATCTATGCTTTGTCGGTAAAAAATGACTCATATGTTATATTGCGATGATTTTAAATATGATTAAGATATTTCTATTCCGAGTTGTTCGATATTCATCCACTATGCAAAAATCTCTTATGACAATATTCGATCAAATGAACAAACGTGAATGATGTTTTTTAACAAAAATATAGAAAACGAACAAGATTTCTTTCAGTGCATTGCATATAAGAAGTGAATGGTGGAGTCTTGGGATCGTGAAGTTCAGATTTTCTAGTGTTTCTAGAATTTTCTTGAACTTCATAGAACTTACTTGAATTACATAGGATTCTCTTTGATGTCATAGAATTCTCAATAAACTTCGAAGAGACTATTAAGGGATGCCATCTACATCATAATAACTTTTCAGATTGATATTATTTTTTCTTTTTTTGTGTGTGAATATAGGTGAACTGAAAAGTCAGACTGATATCCACAGTAGAGCAGGCAACGAGTTACTTTTTTTCGGTGTGTTCTCCATGTTTTTGAAAGAATAGAATGGACTTATTGAAGATTTTCGCTAAATTTGTAGATACAATTATACAATATGCGTCAGAAATTTTTCTTATCTTCTCAATTACAGTGCTGGCCAAAAGTCCCGAACCCCCCTGAACTTCACTCATAATAAGAGCTAGACAGCTGAAATTTTGTATGTATATACCCTATAATGAATGCTGATCGTAGGCACAACCCCCGTCATAATTGATCGATTTAGAACGGAGTTATAATAAGTAGTAGTCGTGTCCCTTGTGAAACCCATAGTTCGAGAAAGGAAAGACCATTTGAGTCTGCCAACATCNCAGTGGACTCTCGCCAATTGGCGAAAGTCACCAGGGTATATTGGCGAAAGTACACTGGACTTTCGCCATTGGCGAATGTCCTGTTGGCGAAAGTCTTATTGGCGAAATTCGGGAATCCCAGTTCATAGACATACTAGAATCGGCATTAAATATATTGTGCTCTAAGAACTTTGTTATTATATCATTAAATTTAGTTAATTAAAATTAAAATAAAGAATAAAAATTCAATTTATTGTTTTTGATCCCTCAAAATATCGATGTAACATATTGGATCTATCTTGTCTAATATCCGCCACAATTGCCTCCACCTAACATGCACGATTCTTTCGATAGATCAGGATTGGCGCATTTCGGATTTGAAGTATCACATGATACGGGATAACCGGAACAGCTCCAAATGCTATCCCGGTGACATCTACAGGCAAGATTTGAAATCATGGCTTTGATGATTTTACAACCACTGGGTTTCAGCAATCCCTTGACGATGTATTGACAATCGCAGCTTTGATTGATTTGATATCCTTTGCAATTACCACCACCTAAAACGCACGTACCAGGAGACAGATCAGGATCGGCACAATATGGACTCTGTGGGTTGCTGCATGAAACAACGGTACCATCGCAAGCCAACACTCGTTCAGTACATTTACATGCTGTATGCATTGGTGGAGGCATGGAAATTACGCAACCATCCGAATTATAGCTACAATCGCATACATGTGGCGACGAAACAGAATTAGTCGAAACAGGAATAGGATCGGAAGGTTGAGCGATTCTCAAACCCATTGAAATTGCTAAATTTTTAAGTGAGGCGACTCGATTCGTCATGATCCCTTGAACACCAAGATTGATGTAATCTTCCATGGATGATTGTTTGTCTAAAGTCCAAATGTATGTCATACTATTTTCACTATTTAGTTGACCTGTAATAGCAGCTGTTATTCCAGAATAAAAAGTTTTCGGAATACAAGAAGAACTGCCAGTTCCGTAAAGTCGATTGTTTGTAAAGCGCGAGAGCATTCCCATTACACCAACATAATCATTGTCTTCTTGATCGAATGTGAAGAAGTAGCGTGCCATATTTGGTGAAGACTTTGCTGCCATTGCTGTTGCTCGAATATAATCGTATGTGTCAAATTTTGCTGATGAGATGATGACTTTTCCTTGGTATCCCTTGCCAAAGAGATTTTCATCCAAGAAAGGAATGACAGCTGAACCAGCTTTAGTAAGTGTAGCTCCCATGTCTGCATCCACTTTAGAATCGATAAAAACAAGAGCAACACCACTAAGGCTCGCAATATGTTGCATGTGAGTTACAGCATTTTCACTAGCTCCACTTCCTTGACATTCACTCTGAACAGTATGACATATATGGTCATCTCCAATAGCACAAATACAATCGCAAATACCACCATGTTCAAAATACGTAGGATTACCGTCACTATCGAAATGAAGGTCACTTTCGATTGCATTTGCGCCTTGTGATATTGCCCAGACGAGAGATGGTCGACTATTTGCCATATGCGAAATTATGTAGAATGGATATTGGGTTTTAGCTGCTTGTACAAGAATATTGGACGAGAATCCAACGAAGAATAAGACTACAGTTACGACTTTCAATGGATGATATTTCATTGTAATTCGTTTATATATCTATCTATAAAGTAAATTTCACTTTAAACATAAATATACATTATAATTCTGAACAATCGACTGTAAATAGTGTATAAGCGTCAAGTAGATTCGACTTTTTTGCTAGATATGTTTGTAAACAGACGAGTAAATCACTAGAAAATCTAATTTAAAAAGTTGAACAAACTATAAGTCTCTTAGTCGAATGAAATGCTTAAGAAAAAGATTTCTAAGAAAATACGTTTTGTAACAATGTTTCAAATCAAATTGAACATTTAATGACTTATTAATTTTTGTTTATAAAATGGTGTCCTCGTTATGTTATTAAAAATATTAGGTGTCTATCTACTTGTTTCCTGAGAGAGCTTCAATGTGTGTGGGTGCCGTTTGGGTGTCTTCTAGCCCGACATCAACATCCGCCTATACCAAACCTTTATATAACAATAAATGATGGTTGAATTTATAAATAACGACAATCTGTTTACTTGTTCATGCGTGAATATGAGCAAGTATTATGTTTAAACGAGAATATCTACATTTTTTTCATGTCATTACTCCCGAATGACAACTCCAGTTGCCATTTCATGCCCCTACAATTTCCTGTTCAACTATTCCGTGTGCAAGTTTTCAAGCGCATTTTATTCAATACTAGTAACTTTCGTCGATATTTATCACATCGTACGTCATCAAGATACATATTTCTCGTAGGTAAAAAAAAATTAATTGAAAAGAAAAGAGGTTTTTTTTATAATTATCTTACAGTACTCTTTTGTGTAAGTCATATACTATTCATGTACTTCATTGTAAATTTAAATACTGTTATGTACATAATCCTTCGAAAATGTAGATTAGTAGCAGAATTTCTACCTTGATGATAGCTACGATTGAAAAGATAATTATAACTAATAATAGAACTAACATTGACTATACAACTTATCACCGTGAATAAATATGTGGACAAAGACCTATATTTTTACCTATCATTTCGTAATTATCAAACAAGAGATTATTCTGTGAGATTCCATTCGACTACGTATGGCTTTAAACTCTTAAGACTTGCTCTTCTACAGATATGCATTATGGTTTTATCAGTGGCGTTCTATTTTTTCTAAATTGTGAGTTGAAAAATTAATATTAGAAGAGAATTTTCATCAGAGTCTACTTACTATTACTTTTTCATCGATGTTAATGAAATATAATACGAACACGTGGGATTCGCAAATTGATTACATTTTTGTCGTTCTATACAATCACCAATAACCAAAAATTGATATAAGAGCAATAGAATATCGTCAAAGCTATCAATTTTGTTTTGCAAAAAATAATTATATACAAATAGGTCACAGCAAATGAAACATTTTTTTTTCTTTCTATATTAATGTATATACGTGGGCGAGTCAGAACATTAATTTATGTATAATAGCAGCAAAAGTGTCTATTGCTTAAGTATATGATAATGACCTTACGAAGAAAAACATAAATGAAACTGAATACAAAAACCGAAAGCTTTATGTTCTAAATGTCTAGCATCAAAATACATAATGAATCATATTGTATAACTTCTCAGGTAGAAAAAAAAATGATTGTAAACAATCATGTTTCATGTTTTTTCTCTTTTTGGTCGACGCAGTGTTACGATCGTAAACAATCGAATATTTAGTTTTCAGACAGTTTGATGACCATTATCAACTCTGTATGGTACGATAAAATACGGTCATCATACGATGTCTATCAAACACCAATTTATAGTTGTTTGACTGCAAATATCAAACAACAGTACACAGTATTGCTTTAGTCGTCTTGATGACTGTATTTATCGTCCTATATTTTTATTACTCTTTATTGTATACAATATTTTTATAGCTATAAAATTAATCTTTCGAAAGACTATAAAATAAAAAACAATGATTACCTACTTAACTGAATCCAATATATATACCATTAAGTAATATTTTAACAACGAATTTATTCCCATGAAATAATTAATAGATGTCTGCAATACATTTAATCTACAGTTTTTCCAGATTGACACTACACAATGATAGTTTTATAAGAAATAACTATTTTTGCTTGGTCCATAGTATTCGAAAAAGTAAAGAAAAAGTGGGTACATTAAGCCATATCCTTAACTCATATATTTGGTCTAAAGGAGTTACTGCTATTGCAGAAACGAGGATCACGGATGAATCTCACTTGATCAACCACCGATATATTTCAGTTTTGAGTTAGAAACGATTTATTTTAATAGCTGATGAATTAATATTGCGACGTATCTCAGTCGATCTCTCGACAATCATGCACCCAGAAAGAGCAACTCAATAGTTCCTTAAAAGCATGGTCAATTCTCATTTTTAGGAAATTCAAAATGCCTCACATCATTATATCATAGATGATAAAAGCTACAAAATACTATTGCAAGGGTGTAGATTAAATTTTGAACATTTATAACAAAAGCTTGTTTTTTTTACACATAGATTTGATGGAACTACAAAATCTAGTTTGCGCTTCGATGAGACCGCAAAATTCATTTTTATTAATCAAAAACTTCTAAAATCGCTGTCTGAGGTTGCTTTGAAACCGAAAATAAACAGTACCATTCGACTCAGTATGCTCTAGGAGAAATTGATTTCAGAATCTGGTTTTCAAAATCTTCACCAAGAACTCACTAGATCGATCAATCGCTAATCAATCAGATATTGATTTACTTTGACGACCCATGGTGCTTTCTCTTGAATAGCGGAAACTCTAGATCTTGAGATTGTTTCTATGAAAAGTTATACAAAAAAAAATAGTCCAAGTTATTGTTTTTGAAAGTAACCTTAGAAAATTGTAATCAGAAACGAAACAAAAACAGCAATGCGTCAAAAAGAACTAGTTTTTATCTTAGTGTTTCTCTAAATCACATTATTTAAATAATTGAAGCAAACTATGTATACCTTAGTTTTAATTCCTCAAACATTCAAAACTATGTCCAACTCATTACGCATGAAAATATTATGAATCTTTTTAGTAAACAAATGAGTTTGTTGATTCGAAATTCATAGAAAATCTTCTGAATCAGTTTAAATCAAATTTATAAAATTCTATAATTTCTTTCTTATGAAAAACACAATTGAAAATGAATTTCTACTCTTTATAAACATTTCTTTTAAATGTCACATAACATGTTTTTGATTACTTTTTCTCACTTCATACAAATATTAAAGATATGAAATTTGATTCTACAATGACTGACACGTGCAGAAAGATAAAACTAAATGTTTTGTTGTGCGTGTAACAAGAAATGATTAAAGTAAAACAAAAACGTTGACGGTCTTGACACATTGCTTATCAAACACCATAACGTTGTCTTCGCTTATTGTCAATCATTATGTTAACAATTCGTCCTAGTCGTGAAGATGATATTCCAGCTATTACTGCGATCTACAGTTACTATGTATTGTATAGTGCATATACACTTGAAATTATACCTCCTACAATAGATGAAATGGCTAGTCGACGTGTTGCTGTTCTTAATGATAATATGCCATATCTTGTAGCAGAAGAAGCAGGTTCGATCATTGGATTTGCTTATTGTAATTGGTTTAAACCACGTGCTGGTTATCGTTTCTCTATGGAATCAACGATCTATCTGGATAAAGATATGTGTGGTAAAGGTTATGGTCGTCAATTATTGAATGCTCTACTACATGAAGCTGAATTAGCTGGTGTTCGAAAAATGATTGCATGTATTGGTGACACAGCTAATGAGAGATCTATTGGATTACATCGTGCTGCGGGATTTTCGCATGTTGGTACATTTAAATCTTGTGGATGGAAATTTAATCGTTGGGTTGACGTAATATTTATGGAAAAAAACATAGGCGATGGTGATAATACAGCTCCTGAATAAATAACTGTGATTGTTTATCTCTCATGATCTGATGTTTTAGATTGTCTTTGGAACACAACAACTAATAGAAAGACTTGACCGATATTAGTTTCTTTAATTTTTCTTGTTGAAATATCATGAGTAATTCTTTTCTAATTTATGTCACTTTTAATCTTTTTTGCTGACTTGAAAGAGTTTGAGTTATTATTTCAAATTTGAGAGTTGTTATTATTGTTTTATTAGTTTTACCGAAATGATTTATATCTATTGTGCTATTGCTATAGATTTTTCTTGAAACACTCGTAGTGTATGAATGAAAACGGTGCTACTTTTTGAGGGACCGAAGTGTGGAATTAGAATTACTATGCCATCAATTTATTTGATTCATTCAGCATTGTTATGCTGAAAACACTTATTTGTATTGTCAGATACATCTTTAATACATAACTCCTTTTCTCATAATGATAATATATATGATATATACTATAAAAAGTGACAAATATGATTTTATTCTTCGTTTCGTCTCTTCAATCACTATATTAGCCTGCTAAACATATGAATTTAAGCATTTAGTAAGCTTCTGAGTATATTACTATTTCTTTCGACGAACTTTGACACACAATGTTGAGGTTTGCCTAAACTTGAAATTCAATTAGTTCGTACTTTTTATGTTCATCCTATCTTGACTCTGCTGTATCATTATATCACTGCTCTACTGATTGATACCTACCACAAGATCGTTTCGCTGCATTAAATACCAAAGCCTGCAATATTTAGATAATTATCGGTGCCAAAATTCAAGATATTAGAATGCTTTTTGAGGGATTGATCTTCTTGGATTGTGAAAAATCGTTCGGAACTTCGAATCCAAACAATGCTGAACTTTTGCTTAGACACAATGATGTCGAGGACACTAATGAAGAACAAACTGAATTCAATGTTAGAAACCGTTAGAAATCGATAGAAATCATTGTAGCACCTTGAGGATGTGAATAATGACTAGATATGGTTGAAAATT